ATCACATCTGCTTAGCAAAAGAGCTCATATTTTAGAGTTACGTTGAGAAAAATTTAGAACGACATGATTTTTCCAGAATTCACCAGCCCTTCTATCTCCTTTGGAAAGAAGTGTGCCTCTAATTTCTAGCGCTCCATAATCTATAGAAAAAGTACTATCGAAGATTTTTTCTGAATCTACTGAGAGCAGTACGCGCTGCTTCACATCTCTGCGAAGAGACGCCCGCAGAAAGTTTTGAGATTACTGAAATCGAGATATCAAGGACATTCTGCATACCGAAAGATTTCCTTGATGAGCTGAGCACAATGCATTTTTCGGATTCAGAAAATATCCACTCCAAAGAAAGTGACGGCGAGTAGAATCTGGAAACGAGTGATTTTTTCAGAATTACCAACGCTTTTTTCTCTTTTGAAAAGAAGTCTGTGGCAGCTTTCCAGCGCACTATAATGTAGAAGAAGAGACTGTCGAATGGTAGTTACTGGAAGCTTTTATGTTGGATAGTCGCTGCGTTACATACTTGCAAAGGGACCTCCTCAGAAAAATTTGAGAAAAGTGGAAACAAGATATAGATGACATGACGTATGTCGAAAGATTTGCCTTGACGAGCTGAACACAATGCTGCTTTCGTATTTAGAATGTATTCATTCCGAAGGGAGTTAGGCGCTGCATAATTTGCGATATTCCGGAATCGCGAAATTTCTGGAATTTCGCGAAATTCCCATTTTGTGGGTGGTATTGTAAATTGCACAGCACGCGCGGCATTCCGCGATATGTGCTTCTCATGCGATTATCAACCATTTCCCTTTGTCTTCCTGCATTTTGGAACCCATCATATTTCGCTGAGAAAAGCCCAGTTTCACACATATCCATGCAGAATGAGCTTTTAAACTATACCTGCCCTATTCCTGTAGCGCTCAACAGAATGTGTATGCAGCCTCTGGAATCAGCACACTGAATGATCCATTTACACTAAAATTCCAAGAAAAAGACTTATATCCCACAACTAGGCACATCTGTAAACTGGAAGATGCGCCTCGCCGAGCTGAGTTGAATGGTACTCTTAAATATAGAATTCATAAATTTTGAATCAAGATAAGGTCTTTTTTCTAGAAGAGTTAAGCGTCGCGCGACAAAGTTAGGCGGCAAGTGCCGCTTTTCCGTCTAACTTTGTCGCGCGACGCGGCGCTTGCCGCCTAACTGCGGCGGTGCCGCGTGAGTTAGGTGCCGCCGCCAATTTTTTTCACAAATTACGGGTGGTATTGTATATGCGAAAACTAAGCCACGATGCGATATGTGGTCAGAGCTAGACATACTATCTGAGAATAAATAATTAGATTTCGTTAGTGAGAGCTTTGCGCTGACAATTTAGAAGTTTCTATTTGCATAGTGCTCATGCATTATTATTGAATGTGAAAGTATGTGCTATTTTTTCTGACTGCGTCTTCTGAGCTTTCACTTTGACTGCTAAAGATGAATGCGCGAATCTTGTCATATAAAAATTCGCTGCCAATCATCTTTTTTGAGTTGTCTACTTGACCTGTGTCTGTATGTTTTAGGTTGTAACATAAGTCTTGTTACACTTTAACTTCTTACGGCGATAAGTCATGCACCTCATATTTTCTACAGGGCTCCAGGGTACTATTCGATAGAGCAAAGCAATACAAGTGTGCAAAAGTTTGCCACCTTCGGCCCACTTTGAGTTTGCGTCCAAAATATGAGTCGTACTGAAGACTCAGAAAACCGCGAAAAATTCATATCTTGATTCGAAAAAATCCTACGAGTCTCCAACTTGCTCACAAAAATTGCACATTACATCAGACGCTCATATGTACCATCCCTGATTTTTTTCCTCATCTAGAAATCGAAAAAACGAAAATTCTCAAATCTTCACAAAAACGAAGCTAAATTGTTTCCACTTATGTAATTGTATACTATAATCCTTAGAAATATAACCGTAGATTTTTAGTTCTTCACAAGCCCTGGTTTTCGAAAATTACCCAATTTAGCTCTCCTACTCGAGTGTTTCATGATAAAATCAATATTTCTCGAAAGCTAGGAATTGTAGAAAGCTGAGAATTTACGGATAAACCTCCAAGGGATTCTAGTATACAATTATTGTACACTACATTAGACGCTCATATGTACCTTTCCTGATTTTATTCCCCATATAGAAATCGAAAAAAACGAAAATTCTCAAGTCTTTAGGAAGAAGCTAAGCTGTTTCCACAATTACATACAATGCGTTTAACGAGTCCAGCGCAGGATCAAGCGTGTTGATGCGATCCGGGACCCCCATTTACGACCCCCCCTTGAAGGTACCCATCCTCCGACCCCCGAGCCATCTATCCCCCCCCTCTCCCCTCCCGCCCCCCAGCTACCTCCCCCCCCCCCCCCTTACCTCCCTTGTCCACATTCCTCGCTGCATAAATATGTCAATCTCAAAAAAACACCTGCGTGAGAACTTCAGTGAGGTTTCGGAAGCAGGATTTCAAAACCAATGGGTGCGCCCACGATAATGTTTGAGATTCTGCAGGTTTTTTTTGAATTTTCAGGCATACTTCAGGCCAGCAAATTCGGTTCCCGTATGCGACCAAATTTTTGCACGCAGAAAGAAATGACATTCTTGAGCTACAAAAGATGTTTTCGACTAAGAAGCTTACTTTCTACCTCTTGCACAGTTTTTCCTGCGAAAAAAAACCGCTTTAACGCCATCCAGAACGATGTCAAAAACGTGCATGAGCACGGTCGTTTGAAAATTCGTATCTAAGGCCAGGAAAAGACTGAGAGGCTGCAATGAACAGATTCTGTAGCAAAGTGCCCAGACTATCAAAAGTAAAATTTTCAGCCTTTGAGGAGCAGTGAACTCGAAAAAATTTAGATGCGACTCTCGCAATTTAGATGTGATCCTAAAAAGCAAAAACTGGGATTTCTGAGCTTAAAATTTTGCAACTTACCAGAGAAGTTATAAAACAGCCTGAAATTTTTATGAGTCTAAGTAGGAGGATGGCCTCATATTGCAGCAAAATTGCAGCCAACAAGCTTCGATAGCTCCAAAAAAATTTAGATGCGACCAAGATACGACCCCCCTTTTCTGGTTTGTTACCATACATAAAATCATAAGAAAATCCACAGTTAACAAAATAACACCAGATTTCGCACAGTGATAGCAGGGCTTATCTGAAGTACATATAAATTGTAAGGGCCGTATAAATGGCATTACAAAAAGATTTACGAATTATTGATTGTCATCGTTGATCTAAATGTGCGCTTTTGTCGAGTGTGTGAGACTTCAGTGATGCTTCGGAACCACGATTTCTAAGCTAAATGGTACATTTGGCATTCTTGTCACACATGCATGAATAGTGTCTGAGTTCTGAAATTGTCTTTGGAGTCTTCGGTACTTGTGACCAGCAAGTTCGATCCCCGTCTGCAACACCTTTTTTGCTGGGAGAAGAATGATGTTTTTTGAAAAGTAGAGAATGTTTGCGACTGAGAAGTTTATTTCCTACATTCCAAACTTTTTTAATTTGGACCACCCTCTCTTACGCCTCCTCCCCCACCGCCGGCGCCCCCTTCACGACCCCTCGTTGCGACAGTTCGCATCACACGCTTGACCCTGGTCCAGCGCCGCGTAGTGCAGTCACACATCTACGCGCGAGCGTTACCGTAGGCGCAGCGTGCAGGGACCATGCTGCGCACAACATCGCGGGCCTTGTTTTTATTGTTTTGTCTCGTGATTTTTCTGTTTTGCAGCAGCGGATTGTCGTTTTCCTTCCTTCTAGGCTCATATGCGATCTGTCTTGATACCAGATATGATTTTCGCAGCAAAGGAAGGAGGTATCAATATCTTAAGCGTTTTCTTCATTACACCTTCCACTTCAACCAGGCCTTCCTCAGAAGGCTGATTTCGGATTCATGATTCATTATATCGACTTATGTTCCAACGGACGTAATCGTATATCGTTTAGGTTTGAATGAACAGCGCCAACGTGTTGTCCACTCAAACTGTTCTCTCAACCTACACGATACATGATTACACCTTACGATATAACTCTAGCTGCAATAAGGAAGAGCACAAGTCGTCCTCGGAATCTCAAATGAAATGAGTAAATTACATTTTCTTCGAAAGACCTCAAAATTTTTTTGTCTTCCATTCGCGCGGTGGTACTTTGAGAGATCTCAGAAAGAGCACCGAAGTAGAGTCTCAGGCAGGAAAAGCTCAAAA